GTTTTAGTTGATTAAAAGGAAAACAGAAAAGAAAAAATAAAGGCCAAGGGTATTGTTGGGGTGTCTGTCCAATGTGGAGGGTCTTTTTTGAGCGATCTCCTAAAATAAAATATTTTGATAAGCAGTTTTTGGTCCTCGTGATGTCTGTGTGGGCCTGGGCTACCTCCCCACTGGACACCCATGCTTTGGCTCAGAATGGGCCAAGCACTCCAAGAGAGACCCACCCTTGGAATAGACACTGCTGCCTCTCACCACCAGGAGCAGTAGGCACAGCTCTGTAGCCCCTGCAGTGTTAGGCCTCCAGAGAGGCCAAGACTACAGTGTCTTCCCAGGCAAATGTTCCTGGTCTTGTTCCTGGCCCCACCTTATCTATCACCACCTTCCGGGAAGTACCTAGCCCAACCTCACACACACACATCAAGTGGGAAGGAGGACAGCCTCAGGTATCATTCCCAATAATGCCTTCCACCTCCTTTGAGACAGGATCTATTGGCCTGGAGCTCACCATTAGACTGGACAGGCTGGCCTAAGGCCTTGAGATCTGTTTCTACCTCCCCAGCACAAATGATATTTTTCATGGGTTCAAAGGCTTGAACTCTGATCCTTCATTTTTGCAAGGCAAGCTCTGTACCAGCTGAGCTCTCTCCGACCCCCAGCTCCTTTCTTTACCCAGGGTAGTACCAGTATAAACATCCCCACAGCCCTGCTGCTGGGTCACAGAGCAGCAGCCAGCCTTGTTACTGACTGCACCCCAGCCCCAGAAGAGCTGCAGCCCACCTAGCAACTCCAAACAGACCAACAGTAAGTTCTGCCTGAGACCCCTCAGAGAGACCTGAGGTCTCCAGGCCACCCTCTTGCCTGACCAGGCTGGGCAGAAATCTGTGTAGGGGCCACTGAAGCATGGTGTGGGCGGGCCTGCCATCTAGGGCAGGCTGCCCAACATCCTTCCTCCTGCGTGCTTTTCCAGTCTTGCCCAACCTGGGACTTCTGAATGAATTTCGGGAGCAAGGCTACCTACCTTCTGCCTCTAATGTTTGCAAGTGTTCTGGCTCCCACATCCCACCCACTCTCCATACCCTTCATACAGTCCTAGGCAGTGTCTGCCTAGAGTGCTCATTCAGATCTCTGCCCACCCAGCCACCAGTGGTTAAAATATAGAACAGGCCAGGTGGGTACTGAGACCAAAGGTTACAGGGCATGGCCTGGGCCAAGCTTGACGAGCTGCCCTGCTGCCATCTTAGGACACCCATGGAGTATCTGCTCCAACATGGGTGCTCAGAGGCCAGTATGCTGGAGCCATCCTGGCCCGGGAGTCCCCTGCCTTTCAAGGGCTGGGCAGGCTAGACTGGAGCTGTGTGTGGGATTAACTGAGCAGAGGACAGCTGCCAGCCACAAGTGTGATGTCAGAGGTCCAACAAGCTGCTGCTGTAAGCTAAGGCAGGAGACCTGGTCAGCTCTGCTGAGTTCCATTTAGAAAGTGGTCATGGCACACAGGTCCACAGATGCCAGCCTCAGGGCCTGGCAAAGGAAGTAGAGCAGTCTTGTTGAGGATAACTGCTGGACCAGCTCAGCCTCCATGAAGTCCCCGGCTAAATATCTGTCAGGCAACCTGGGCCTCTTGCCTCCTGAGACCCTGGGCTCTACCCAATCACACCCGTGCCTTGCCCCCTGCCTTCGGAATCAGAGCCAGTAAAGCAGAGGTGGAGACAAGCAGCTAGGGACTGTACTTAAGGATACCAGACACTAGGAAGGCTGGTTCTGTCAGAGCTAAAACCCAGCACTTCCAACATTTTCTGTACAGTCTGGGTTAAATTGCTGCCACACTGGGCCTCAGTTTCCCTGCCTGAGAAGTGGGGTAAAGCTGAAGCTCCTTAAAAGAGTGTGCACATGGCAGTAATTGAGGATGTCTCCAAAGTTCTTGTTCCCTGGGCCTGGGGTACAAGATGGAACAGAGACAAGAGGTGAGCATATCCATGCCCCCTCCTACCGGGTACGGCCTTGACAGAGGCCTTGACAGGTGCTCTTCCTTAGGGAGCCACCTTGGCCCCTTGGGCTCTACACTGATGGGACAGATGGTTTAGAATGGGGCACTATAAAGTGGGCCCTTCTCCCTGGTGTTCCTTCCCCCCTCCCCCCAACTTCTGGTACACACACACAGTTTTTTCCTTGTTTTCCTCCTCCTCTTCCTAGGACATTGGGTGCTGTTAGACAGGTTGTATACAGAAAGACTCCTACCCAAGAAGAGACAGGAATCTATTGAGGCAACCCTCTCTTCCAGGATGTAGCTGGCCCAACTCTTCCCTCACCTCAAATCTACCTCCTTCCCACCCGTGTCTTGAAGTCTTGTGACTCACAGACTCAGAATGCAGAAAGGCCACAGGAATCGTGTCACGGTGCCCATTGTTAGGCAGAAAAAAAATTAAGGCCTGGGAAACCCCACCCATGTCCACCAGGATAGTCTCAGGACCCGAAGCCCTGCAGCTACAGCTGGACATGTGGGTGCTTAAGAGCATGTTGGTGGGCGAATGAGTGTGCCAGGGAGAAGCTGGAGGTCAGCGAGCCGGCAAGGGAGGGACCTAGGGCTGGGCTATGCAAAAAAACATGTCAGCCCCAGCTTCAGAAGCCTTAGGGACATTTCAGAAGGGGCTCCTTGGCACACTTAGCCAGTCTGAACCCCCACCTAGCACTGTTCTCTGTGAGGGGAGGGGCTGGGAGCATCTACCCAAGTAGCCTGGTGCTCTGTGACCCTGGTGACAGCAGCACTGTCAGCTAACAAGTGACCCCAGCCAGGTGGCAGCATGACACTGCTCTCATGGTGGCCCTTCAAGTCAGTGAGCAGAACTGTCCCTTCATCCCTTTGGGATGTCACTCACAGGGCACCCTGATGCCTGCCACCTCAGTTCTGGGGCCACAGCTGATGCCACACCACGGTCCCTGCCCTCAGGTTGATACTGCCTGTACAAAGGCTCCTCGGAGGAGGAGCCATGCCTATATACCCTGGCTCCACCCCCGCAGCTGGACATTTGAGACTCTAGCAAAAGGGGAGTCTTTCTGCTTTGGAGGTGGCCGGAGCCCCAAGGGGGCCCCAGGGTAGAAGCCTTCGAATGACGTCCAAACCTTAGGCATTCGAAACATCCCAGGATCTGGCTCCCACTTGTCCTCTTTTCAGATAAACAAAAGCACCCACAGTACCCAGCCCACCCTAGCCATCCAGTGGCTAGGAACCCAGTGGCGGAGGGGCACTGCAGGTGGTTCCCAGCCCGAACAAGCTTCCTTCAGTCACTGCACTCATTTCTAGTAGGTTTATACCTCCTGCCCCAGGATTTTCACCTGGGATAAAGCTGAAGGAAAAGCCAGGTGTGGTAGCTCATTGCCTTTAATCCCAGCACTCAGGGAGGCACAGACAGGCAGATCGATCGCTGTGTGTTCAAGGCCAGCCTGGCCTACAAAGTGAGTTCAGGACAGCCAGGGCTACACAGAGAAACCCTGAAACCTTGACTTGAAAAACAAAAACAAAACAAGAACAAACTGTAGGAGAGGGGCTGGAAAGAAGACTGAAAGGTGAAAAGCCCTGGCTGCCCTTGCAGAGGACCCAGGTTCTGTTCCCAAAGCCCACATGGTGGCTTATAACCAGCCAGTAACTCCAGTCGAGGCGATCAACTCGCCTCTGAACTCCATGGGCACCACACACACATGAAATGCACATACATGCAGACAACACTCATCCACAGAAAAGTTTTTGGGTTTTTGAAATACAATTTTTTTAAGTAGCCCTGGCTGCCCTGGAACTCACTCTGTAGACCAGGCTGGGCTCGAACTCACAGAAATCTGCCTGCCTCTGCCTCTTGAGTGCCCAGGTTAAAGGTGTGTGCCACCACACCTGGCTCACGTATGTTGCTGTATTTTTTAGGCTACTTTATTGGGCTCATATAACCCAATCCCTTCCAACACCCCAACATCAGGTAAGAGAGCCAGAAGGTTAGAGGGGAAAGGGGGTATAGGACTCTAGGTTACTTCCTGCTGGTTAGTGTCCATTGGGTTCCTTAGGGCAGATCCAATCTTCCTTGTCAGGATATATCCAACTTCTCATCCAAGTGCAACAACAGCCATCAGGAGCAGCGACGGGAGAGGGGACAGCGGACACCTTCACCTTCAGCGCCCCCGGCCTCTCTCTGGGCTCTGGCATATATACCCTCAAAACTATCTGCAGCTGGCAAAGATCATGGCCCTGCTAGTACAGAAGACAATCATAGTTAACAGCTGTGGACAAGCCGAAGCAGCCTCATATCCCACACCTGGGATTAAAATAAAAACATTCACATAACTAGGTTTTTTAAGAGACCAAAATTCTTACTACGCACATAAAAGTTTTATTGTTTTTTTTTGTTTGTTTGTTTGTTTTTTGTTTTGTTTCTTTCAATGAAAAACCTGTAGGTGCCCTGCTCAAACCTAAGGGCATTCCATAGCACCCATCTCTCCTGCCTGCACAGGGGAGGGGTTGTGGTGACCGCCTCAGGCAAGAAGCACAACCTCAATGTCCACCCACTGGTCCAGGCACTGAACCTTACTGCCTCAAGGCAGGAAGTAACATGCAAGCCCAGTGCCAACCACGGGGTCTGGGAGTTCAAAGAGCAAGAAGGACACAGAGTGACAAGCTATTAAGAACTGCACAGCTGAAACCCCTGGTTTCTGGTTCCAGAGTTTCCCACCAGGCAAGGCCCCTGTCTTTTCGTGGGCATTCCACTGAGCATGGTCCCTGTGGGTAGAGAGGTTGCCTCCAAGAGGCTCCGACGTATCTGTGGGTGTGGTCAGGGCAGGGCGCAGGCTGTTCTCAGGACCTACCTGGACAGCCCTGTGACGATGCAGAGGGACAGACCCAGAGGAGGAAGCAGTGCCGGGTTTTCCCAGGTGTGGCCCCAGGTATAAAGCACGCAGCCAGGCTTCAGCAGGTGCAGCCCTGGGACCATCGCCAGGTGTGAGGCTGCTCCTTGTCTACTGCCATGGCCATTGTCACTGCCACGGTGATGGTGAGCCTGGTGCCTTTCCCCGCCTCGTGATGACAGCCTACCCAGAAGGGTGGATATTGGGGCCCTCTCTCTAAGCCTAGACTCACTGGAATGCCTTTAGGCTAACTCCCCACTTACCAAGGGAAATCTAAACCATCTTTCCAGGGAGGACGGGCAAGCTTGGGAGGAAGCGGGTGTTCTCAGGGCTACCCCTAACCATACACCTGCCTGCTCCCCAGGGGCTCCTGCTTCTAGCCTGGTTGCCTACTGGTATGCCTCATCAAGATCCCCCATCCTGGGGGACACCCCGAAGCCATAGGATCCTGCGGTGCTACTCTGCTGAGGAACTGTCTCACGGCCAGGCTCCCCCACACCTGCTAACTCAAAGTGCCAGGTGGGAACAGGCTCTCCCTGTAGCCCTGGTGTCCACTTTGGAGGCCCCGGGCCACAGGAGGCAGCATGGAGGACCTCTAGTTGGAACACAGTGCCCCGTGCTACGGCCAGAGGAGGTGTTGGAAGCTGACACCCACCAGCGCTCCATCTCGCCTTGGAGATATCGGTGAGGGTGATGGGGTTCCTGCTGGTGGACTGGCTTTCTTCCCACTCTGAAGCCTCAGTTAGGTCCTTGTCTATTCGGGGGCATGCTCACCCAAACTTTTAAAAACATGTTTTCTCCTGAAAAGCTGAGGCTGGGGACAAGTGAGATCAGGACCCCCACTGAAGCCCCTGCTCCTGTGTTCTCAGAGGCCAGGGGGACATGTACGGTAGCATCATTTATTGAGCGCCAACAGAATGCTAGCTTTCTTGTGCCTGCACCTTTCTGTCTGTAGCATTCACATCCTGAACTCTCAGATTGCAAATTCCAGAGCAAGTGCTGTAGCCACAAGAGGGTGGAGCTCTGAGGAGGGAGGAGGGACACTGCCTCCACCATGCTGCTTGTGAAGCTCAGACCTGTTCTCGGTAGAACCAGAGTGAGCACTGTCTTTGCTCCCGTCCCCTACAGCATCGACACAGATGAGAACCGCTACCCGCAGAAGCTGGCCGTGGCAGAGTGCTTGTGTCGTGGCTGTATCAACGCGAAGACCGGCCGTGAGACAGCCGCCCTGAACTCTGTGCAGCTGCTGCAGAGCCTGCTGGTGCTGAGGCGACAGCCCTGCTCCCCAGACGGTGCAGGGGACCCTATACCAGGCTCCTTCGCCTTCCACACTGAGTTCATCCGCGTGCCCGTTGGATGCACCTGCGTTCTTCCCAGGTCCGCACAGTGACGACTTGTGGCCCACTGTGCTGTACCAGGCCCCTTCCAGGACAGACATTTCAGGCATCCCCACAGAGGATGTCTTCTATTTATGAGTATTTATTGGTTATTTATTGACTCAAGAGAGCAGCAGGAACTACCCAGCCCTTGCCCTGTGAGCCCTGACTCCTGCCCAGATCCAAGCTGCTGGCCTCAGGACTGGAGAGGGCAGACATCCCCGTGTCTGGAAGGATCACTCCCAATGGCTCTCCAGCCTTAGCTTGCCCTGTCACCAGAGGGGAAAGCTAGGCGTGGCCTGGAGCACACCTGGAATGCCAGCACCGGCAGAGCTGGAAGGTTGCCACAGGTTTTCAGGCAGCCTGCTCTATGTAATGATTCCAGGGAAGCCAGCGCTACATGGCGAAATGGTCTCAGAAGAGAGGGTGCGGTAGGCCTGAAGGAACCGGCTTCCTCTTTTTTTTTTTAATTTAAAAAAAGCTGCATATTTATTTTGCTTCCTGACTCTGTACTTGTGCCTTCAACACTTTCACAATGATTTTCTGCTCAATAAGGAAAGCCCGCTTGATCCTGTTGTGCACATACTTGGCACACATGGAACCGCCATAGGCCCTGCTAATGTGCTTCTTTGTCTTAAACAATCTCCTAAGGACTTTAGCCCTCCCAGCTCGAACCCCTCAAAGTCTGCCCGGGCACACACCTCATGCAGAGTTAGGTGCTTTCCCAACCTTCTCGGTATACAGGTGAACAATCCTGTTGCCAGGGGTTCGAGACAGCCTAGTTTTGTTGGCGGCTGTAGTGTAGGAGAGCCTACAATAGTATGTCAAACACTGGACATTGTCTCTAAGCACCGTCTCCGGAAGAGCTGGCTTCCTCTTCTTGAACCTCTAGCCGTAGTGACCGGGAAGGAGACGGGAGCTGGCTCTGTGTTATCCCAGAGCACCCTGCGGGATGCAGCCCTTTCAGTTATGTTTTAAACAATTATTTATTTTAACTCTTATTAAATGGATGTACTTTACAGCCTTCATTTATTCCTGCAAGTCGGCCTGCTTTTCTTCCCTCCTGGCCCTGCCCACCCACTGGGTGCTCAGAAAGTACTAAAGCCCCAAATCCTTTCCTGAGGGTGTATGCAGGGGTGAAGAGGGTCTTGATCACAGCAGAGCCTTCAGGCCTGGGTCTCCACCTTTCGGGGGGGGGGGGCAGCTGCTGGCCTAGGCGGTCCCTCAGGGCCACATTGCCACCCCCAGTCTTTGTAGTACTTTGACCCTTTGGGGGACACCACCTCTGCCTCAGGCTGATCCCCAGGGACACTCCCCTGCATCAAGTCAGGCAGTCAGTGCCTCAAAACACTTGCCAGCATTGAACTGCCAGGCCTCTTCCTCAGTAGGGACCCGGGGCTGTGAAGCCAAACCGGAGACACCAGCCCAGGGCCAGGAGCTGCCAGGGCAGCAGCCTGTACTCTGGCCCCACTGGGTGCTTTGGTGAAGGGGACTGGCAGCCAGCGGCTTCCACTATGCTTCCGGAAGAACCAGGATAGGCTCAGGGTCCCACTTGTAAGCCTGAGCCCACCCAGGGCCCACTGGGCAGTCGTCAGACCTTCGGGTCACCAAACGGGGCTGAGAACATGTTCGATCCACTGCCAGCCATAGTCCCTCTCCCAGCCTCCCAGGAAGAGCTACTTGTCCACACCAGCCATTCACTCTGTTTATTACAGCAGGCTTCACCACCCACCGTGGGCAACCGCAGGGAAACTCAAGAGGGCGCTGTAGACAGGCAGCGAAGGTCACACCACCTCATCTATCACTGGGATCGGGTTGACCTGGGGGCCTCCAGCTGTGGATGCCTCCTCCTCATCCACACTTGGCTTCTTGCGGGCCTCCACTGGTGGCCGGGGTGGAGGGTTGGTGGGTGGCTGCTTGATGGTGCCTCCAACCTGTGGTCGCTCCTTGGGTTTAGGCTCAATGGGGGTCCACTGCTCCCCCCGGATGGCTGCCTAAGGGGCAGAGAGGGCTTATGTTATGCTTCAAGCTGCTTACCATCACTAGGGACTCCAAGTGGACAAGGGTCTTAACCCCTAAGCATGATGGGAGTGGTTTACAATGACTGACTAGACTAAGGCCACACACAGGGATCTGGGACCACCTGACACCAAACCCGAGCTATGTGGCCATGCCACGAGGGCCCTGCAATAGAGGAGCACAGAGCCCCTGGGCTTCTATAACATTCCCAGAAGCACTTCCGGGGGCAAATTCCATTACCCACACAGCTTCCGGGACCCCTCCAAGGGATACCCACTCATGCTACAGCCTCTCCACAGTGTCAAGGAAGCTATAGGAAGCGTGTAGGGCTGGGTGGTAAAGAAGGCAAGCAGAGAACTTGCTGGAAATAGTGCCGCTACCCCCTCTACCCCACAAGGACTCCCTTGCCATCTGGTTCTATGTATCTGGGAATGTGCATTTAAATTTAGTATCCCAGCGGACAGTGGTGATACACACCTTTAATCCCAGCACTCAGGAGGCAGAGGCAGGCAGATCTCTATGGCTTTGAGGCTAGTTTGTTCTACAGGGTGAGTTCCAGAACAGCTAGGGCTACACAGAGAAACTTTGTCTCAAAAAACCAAAATTAACTAATTAATTGATTTCGTTTCCCACACTGTTTGAGAAATGGAAAGTCTGCAGCACAGACCACACCTGTGGCTATACCTCCTAACCAACACACAGCACAAGATAAGAACGGAGCTGGCAGAAGAGAACGCAGGAAGATATCTATATGACCTCAAAACAGAAAAAAAAAAAAAAAAAAAAAAAAGGACTTTTAATGAACACAAACTAGGAGGTAGGGGCAGGATCAGGAGTTCAAGGCCATCTTCAACTACATAGCTATCCGGGGCTACACCAGACCCTCTCTTTCTCTCAAAATAAAAATTAAAATAAATAAATAAGTAAATAAATGCTTCTGTGACACGAGCTCCTGATAGGTGCACCCCAAACTCAGGCAGGCTTAGACGCACAATGGATACACACTGAGGCTTGGAGGTACGGCCTGGGCCAGCCACACTGCCTCTCTGAGTCTCTTTATCCACCTGCCCAGCCTCGCTACAATGGAGCTTCAACAGGGAAGCGCCCTGTTACAGTAGACAGCGCAAGCAAGCAAGACAGCTGATGTGACACACCGCAGCCAGCCGATGGGAGCGAGTAAGCTGTTATGAGAGCCAAGAGCCCCAAGGACATGGGACGGGGGTGGGAGGGAGGCTGACCAGAGAGGACAGACACTTACCAGCAGGTAGATTACACTGGCAATGAACAAGCAGACAGTCCCCAGGATAGTGGCCAGCAGGAAGCCTGCAGGCACTGACAGCCTTCGGGGATGCCAGGAGGAAGCAAATAGACAGCAGTCAGAGGGGATCTTGGTCACAGGTTTCAGAGGGAGAGTTTGTCCCCAGGGCCCTAGGGGAGCCGGACCCAGCTCTGCCCAGATCCAGTTTAGGTTTGGTATAAGCTGTTCTCTGCGGTAATTGGCCTTTGATTTGAGCCCCAGCTACCACGTCGGGGAAATGGCCTAAGCTGGAGTGTGGCCATATGGATGGGTGTGTCCCAGTCCTGGCTTAGCAAAGACCTTGAAGAACTGCAGGTGTAGCAGGCCCACAGGGAGCCACCCAGAACCATGACTGCAGCTCAGGGGCTAGGTGAGGTGCGCACTGCGGGTCTGGGCCCTTCTGCCCTCTCGAAAAGCTGGACTTTTCTGTTTGGATAAATATCAATGAAGAAGGGGCGTGGCTGGGCGATGCCTTCCTGTCCAGGCTACAGAACCATGTCTGGAGGCTCCTCTTAGCCTCCTAGGGATAGGCAGAGGGACTCACAGGAAGTGGAGGACAGCCCGGACGTAGTAGTTTCTGGTGAGGGGCCCAAACAGCTTCACCACAGTGGTGAGGTACTTCTGTCCACTAGATGTAGAGGGAACACAAAAGGTCAGAGGGTCAGGATCCCTTGTCACTCCCTATCCACCCCCTTCCAGGGTTCTAGTCCTTTTTCTGCTGGGCACACAGGCCCAGCAGTTGGGCAGGCTTGGGCTGGAAGCTCATGGAAGTTGACTCCATGGGACAGGTCCCCAGGCCACTCGGGTGTGAATGACTTACCATCGCTCCATGGTGGAGCCCTTTTTCCTCTTTCCCCGGGGGTACTCCAAGAGACAGATGAGCACACCTGCAACACTGCGCTGAGGTTAAGGGAAGCCTCGCCAGGCCTGAGCCAGTGTGCGTCTTTGCTGTGGGTAAGTGGAGGCACAGCCGCTGGCCTAGACCTACCCTCCCACCTCTTCTGTTTCAGGTTCTGGCCAGTGGGCCTACTGTCCAGCAAGGTGGAGTGAACCTCAATCCAAGCCTTGGGACAGCGGACCTCAGCGCCACGTTTGGCTGAACCGACTCTGTGGCCTTTGGCAAGTGGCTTTCCAGCCCTGGGCCTTGGCTTCTGAGCCTGCAGACAGAGCTAGCTGGTCCTGCTTCCAGAGGCTGTGGCCAACAGAGTATGTCTGTGAGGTGGCGGTGCTGGAACTGCCACACCTTCCCGGCCCACAGTAGAAGGATACATTGAGTAGGCGCCAAAATACCACTGTGTGAAGCGTCCAGCAGTGGCCACGATGCCCCCTGTGATGAGGACTAAGGGTGGAGAGCTGGTTAGGAGGTGGCACCTGCTGCAGGTGTGAGCCAGTTTGAGCTTGCCCCTGGGCTGGGACCACCTCCAATTCGCTGCCTACTAGGGCTGGCACCATCGCAGAAGGAAATGCCTATACTTCCTTCTGCAGGGGGTTCAGGGGCAGAGAGGACATGGCCACGGCGAGCTGAACTTGCCCGTAGCAATACTGCCTCAGCCCCATGGCAGCTGTAGGTTACGAAATGGTACATACCTGGGTTCCATCCCAAGCCTTTCATCCCAGCACTCAGGAGGCAGAGGCAGGAGAATCTCTGTGAGCTCAAGGCTAGCCTGACCTACAGAGGACAGCTGGGGCGACACAGAAACCCTGGGGGTGGGGAGCATACCGGTGGTGTTTGGCCACCCTGGCTACGGCCCACTATCGCCTCAGCCAGCCCCTCCATGACTCCATTACAATAGTTTACACTAATGTTACCCGTGGTTCCTCCATGGAGCCACACGACTCGAAACCTCCCTCATGTCAGAAGGTTCTTGTGTCTGTGTCTCTAGCTCAGATGAAGCTGGCGTGAGGTGCTCTGTAAATAATTAGTAGTTCATTCTCTTTTTGTTGTTGTTTTTGACACACTGGCTGGCCCCGAACCAATCTCCCTCCCCATATACTTGAATTGCAGGCACTTTTTTGTTGTTGTTGTTTTTCAAGACGGGGTTTCTCTCTGTAGCCTTGGCTGTCCAGGACTCCCTTTGTAGACCGGGCTGGACTCGAACTCACAGAGACCCACCTGCCTCTGCCTCCCTGAGTGAAGGGATTACAGGTGTGTGCCACCAAGCCTGGCTTTTTTTAATTGGTTGCTTTTCTATGTGATATGAATCACAATTTACAAATGCATTTTTCTGCCTTTGGGATATTTGGAGGCTTCTAGTCTGTAGCTGTGATGGATAAGGTGATGTGGCTATGTTTTTACTTATTTTTTAAGGGGCCCAGGAATTCAAAGTCATCTTTTCCTGCATAGTGAGTTTGAGACCAGCCTGAAACCCTGTCTCAAAGCAAACAAATAAATAAAAGAGACAGGAATCTGTTGTAGATTTAGAAAGATGAGTGATACACCACGTGCAAAAAAGTGTCTTGAGCTTTTGATTACGTGCAGACTGGAGAGATGGCTCAGTGTTTAAGGGCACTGGTTGCTCTTCCATAGTACCGGTTTTTTAGCTAGGTGTGGCCATTTGTAATCCCAACACTCTTTGAGGCTAAGACAGAAGGCTCATAGGTTCCATCAAGGGTCCATTTCAAACAATAAGACGTTACTACTGTACTGTCTGCCGGTATCTCTGACCGACCTGAGAGCTCTAAGCTGGCACAAACCCAGGACATTTTGTCTAATTTCACTTCAATGTGTCCAAGAAGGGATTTGTTTCCATTAGTTCTGAAAAAGACTTCTTCTCCTAGGCCTAAAGTCTCTTCATTTCTGGGAAGTGTTCGCCCAGCCTCCAGACCTCCCTCACACCATAGAGTCTTATGGGACTTGAGCACTTCCCACATTCACTCTTCCTGTACAGCATATGACACAACTTCTATGTAGAAATCCCCACGCTGGGGTGGTTCCTCCCAACTTCCTCCTGTGTCCCTCCGCAGGGCTGGGCATCCCCAGTGTGTCCACTGTCACCAAGACTTGACCAATTGTGTCTGGAGACACTGCACATGAATTCACTTTCCCAAATCCAGTTGGCCCTTTATCTCCTTTGACATTCAGGGTACACTTTGCCCCCTTCCCAGTGGAACCAGCACCCACCCCTGCCCTATGAGTGTGTTGCCCTGTAGGTGCCCTGCCCTGTATGTGCTGACTCCTCGAAGGGTTCACTTCCTCAAACAGTGAGTGTGAGCTCATGCCGGTACGGTATGCATTCCACAGCAGCCCCTGTGCCGGGTGAGGGCTTCTCCCTCAAACCAGACTCCTCTAGCATCTGCACCTGTGCAGGAAGGCCGCCTCAGTCCCACCCCCTTCACAGGCCTAGGGCTCAGGCTTTGGCTGTTCAAGATCTTTTCCACCTGACCCCTGACAGCAACAGCTCTTGGCAGCTGCAGGGATGGATGCCCTGTGTGAGTCTAGCTGGGAGGTGACTCCCGCCTTCTCCAGCACAGAGACCCTGGAGCAGTCTCAGGAAAAGCCTCCTTGCTGTCCTGGGCACCTCCAACTTCCAAGCCCCTCTCCCACCCTTCAGATAGCACTGGTTTATCCTTATGCTTGGCTCGTAGCTCAGCTACATATTAACTTTCCTGTTTTGCTGGTCAGCGTAAAGGTGCGCTCTGCAGGACAGAAGGGTGTTTTTGTCACACATTCACTCAGCTGGCTAGCCACTAATCCTTAGGGTATCATGTCCCTAGAACACCTGAGCTGCTGCCCACCATTAGCGGGAGGCGGTCACCCTTTATCCACCAGGGAGACCCAAGGGCTCATTCTCAAAGCCAACCCACAAGAAGACCTACTGTGTACAGGGACTCTTGGCAATAACATAAAGACCAAGGCCCATGGCTTGCTTAAGGCACATTCAGGAAACTCAGACACAGAAAGGAAGCTGAAAAACAAGAAGGCAGGAGACGGCCCACGAGGCAAGCAGGGGCTCCGGCAGTCAGAAATAGGCTTTCATCCTGAGGTGGAGCCAGCTGCTGATGTGGCCAGAACAGATGGGATTTTCTGTGACTTAAAACAAAACAAACCAAGCAAAACAGGGGAGGCTGGTGAGATGGCTCAGTGGTTAAGGAGGCCCACTGCACTTGCAGAGGACCTGAGTTCAGTTCCCAGAACCCACATTAGGCAGCTTGGAACCAGCTGAAACTCCAGTTCCAGGGGATCCAGTACCCTCTTCTAGTCTTTGTCTGAAAACACCTGCACTAATGCACGTACCCATTTACAGGCACACACACGATTAAAAAAAAAAGCCAAATGTTAAAACAGGCAAGTGTGCTCCCGTTGGTTGGACCTAGACTGCCCAGAACTCTCCCAGGACGGCTGTACTTTCCAATAAAAAGAAAAGGCAGCGGAAGTGGCACTTGGAGAGAGTGGCCACAGCCTGTGACTTCGCTGGAGAGACTTGTGTCAGCCGTGGACAGTTGGCTGCGGCAGGACACGAAGACCTTGCACACACGGCGCAGGGAGGACAGGAGATGTCTCTGTCACCATTTCCTGAAGAACACTTGTGAAAGTGTGGTGTTCACTCCACCAGTGGCAGGCGGGTGGGAAGTGGAAAGAGGGGGAGACGACTGGCCCACCATTTTCAAAAGGTTTCCGCTTCAAAGCCCTCCACCCCAGAATGGGAGCGTCCAGTGTGGACTGGGGCAATTTCTCCATCACTCAGGTGAGGAGGTGAGCCTGGGCCCTCATCGCTGCCTCTGCAGGTCTTTCCTGGCTACCTCTGGCTTTGAGGCATGTCTGCAGTTTCTTCTAGTCTCTGGCCTGATGCTCCTGGTCTGGCCCACCACGTTTCTTTCCCGGTGCAGTGCCGCCCGGGGGTCCCACTGCCCCTTGGCAGACCTCCCAGACAATCCTGACTGTTCGCGCCACGGCCAGCGCCATCCTGACCAAGGCCCAAGTGCTCTGCATCTCAGCCCGGTAGGGCTAAGATTATGTTCTGAGTGGTGTCTGGTCTCCTGTGAAATAGTTTCTGCGCACACTCAGCTTGTGGGATGGAGCTGGCCGCTCCTCCAGGGTAAACTCAACTTCCACCCCAAGCCCCTCTAGGAGAAGACGGAGCCCTACTGATCCCAAGGCCAGAAGCCCAGACTCCTGGGCAAGTGGGCTGTGCGCAGGAGAGGGTCCTCCGGCGGGTTTTCCTAACTGGGCGGGAAACCACCGGGTGAATGCCTCTTCCCCAGCTGCAAGCAACTTCCTCCTCTGAGGTTCCATTGCGGACCGGGCAGGGTGCAGGGCGGGGTCGCAGGGCAGGCAGCCCAGCTAGGCCTGCAGCGGCCACAGCCCGTTCCGAGCCCCGGCTGCCCCCCTCCTTAGCCCCCAATCGGCGGCCCCCAGAGCCAGCCCGAGCCCTGCTTCTCCCGCGGCGCTCCAGGGGTCCTGACCGACCCGTCCACCCGCATTCCGCCTCACTCACTCAGGCCAGACGCCAGCGCCTGTTCGTTGGCCCACATGGCCCACTCGATCTGCCCCATGGCGAGGACCCTGCACACGCAGCCGCCCGGCCCAACTCTGCAAGTCCTCACCGATCGGCCCGCCCCCTGCTCAGGTCCCGCCCCTGCGGGCTGTGCCCTGCAGGCTCCTCTGAGCTTTCCCTTTGAGCCTTAGTGGGTGGGTCAGTCTCCCCACGGGCGTCCCTCCAGCTGGAATGTACCCGGGCTGCTTAGGGCTGCCTGTGACTTGTGACCTGTACCCCAGAACCACTGGAGTAATTAACTTCAAGCCCCCGCACCTATGATTATCAGACAAACGCAGCTCCCTAAGGGGGAGGGGGGCGCGCGACGGGAGAGAAACTAGGTACTTCCGCCTGACTGTGAGCTGGGGCAGGTGTGTCCTGAGTCCCGTGACTAAGTGGAGGAAGAGAGACAAGATGATGTGCATGGCTGAGCAAACCCAGAGCGCAGTGGAGAACAGAAAGCTGTTGCCTCTTTCCCCTGGCCTGGACCAGCTCCAGCAGCAGTGGCGTGTATGTTGGGGTACCGCTTAGGGTGACAAGGGATCAGTACACTGTCACAGGAGGCCACAGGAGTTGGCTCATGGCCCCACCTCTCCACTGCATAGGGAAACAAGACAGAACGCAATGGCGGGTAGGGCTGACCTGAGCAGTAACCACCCAACTGTAATCAGGGACCCTTTGTTCCCTGGCTTAGAAGAGCGAACGCCAGGGCAGGCAGCCACAGTACCTTTTATTCCTGCAGCCAGCAGGTCAGCACCCACACCCACAGTGGACCCCACCCTGGGGCTCAACAGTCTCTGCCCTCACCAGGAGGGGTCACTGGTCTTTATAAAGAAATACTCCATCCGAGCGCGGTGTGGCCTGAGTTTAGGAGCCTGAGTCTCAACAGATGCCCTGCTGTCTGCAGCCGTTCTCCTCCACGCTTTCGCTGGTTACAGAGATCCTGAGAGCACCTTTAACAGGAGCGGGTCAGCAAGCCTTTCAGGGGACGTGAGGCTCGGGACCCCCGCTGCCTAGGCAGCTGCTCATCAATACGCAATGGCACAGCATTGTCACCAAGCACCCCTCAGGCATGGCCAACAGCACACCAGCTCCCCAGTCCCAGAGAGCAACCCCTTCTCCAAATGGCACAAGGGACCGGACACGGAAGAGGTCAAGGGTCCTGTAGAGGTAGGCCATCCGGGCCTAGCAGATGAACATGTGAGTTGTCTAGGACTTGAGGTCCTGGTCCGACCTGGGGGACAAAGATCAGTGTCCTGTCATGGATAACAGCAGTAGCCCTACCCACGGCTCCAGAGACTTTACACACCAGAGACTCTAAGGTGGGATTAGATGGGGGGGTGGGGGCTTCCTTGTAAGTCATGTGAGCATCTAGGTGTTCCTTCCCCTGGCTGGGCCAGATCCTGAGGATCTCAGTGGCCCCAGCACATGGCTGGCGAAGAAAGCATGAACTTAGAGTGGGCCTTTGAGCAGGATCAGGAGACAAAGGGATGCTGCCCTGCTTTGGGGGGTACAGCCTGAGGGCAGAGTCTTGGGGACCCCAATACCCACCCACACTGGCGAGTGACTACTTTCATCTTCCTGGATTCTCTTGGTCCTGAATGACTTAACCCTCACATCCCAACACGCCCCCACTCTCCCTCTGCATGCAAGCTGTCCCTGTGACCGCTGAGAGGAAATGAGTAAACAGTGTCTGATGACCCTAAAGAAGAGCCTGTGCCTACTTCTGTGCCGTGGCTGATGTGGGCTTCTGCTTCCTGCCTGAGACACAGTGGGGTGAGGGAGCCTGGCACCCTCCAGCAGCTAAGGAGGTGACCGGGCATACTGGCCTCACCTGAGTGGAAATGATGTACTTGACAGCAGCAGGCCTGGGCTCCATAGCCAGAGCAGCTTTCAGCTCATCAGAGAGCACAGCAGGCGACACCTGCAGCCCCTTTAAAAACCTAGGTAAAGAAGGCATGATGCTGTGCACAGAAGGCCCAGGTGGGCAGCTCTTCAGAGACAGGTGGGCTGGGGGTGATGGGGGGCAGGGCCCACTAAGAGGGAGGTTTCATTTAGGGATGATGAAAACACTATGAATTAGAGATTTTGCTAAGTGACACAGAGCATTCAGACCAGTCCGAGAAGACAGATCTGTGCAAGGAAGAGACAAGAAACCACACATACAGGCTCAAACGTGTTCAATAACGAAGAAATCAGGGCTTTGCCTGAATCCTGCACTTCAAAGTACCACATATTTAACACACTCATTAGAATGCCTCATGCATTTCCTAATAAAACCCACTTCTGGGCTGGAGAGGTAGCTCAGCACTTGAGAACACTTGATGCTCTTATAGGGGGGCCTGGTTAGGTTTCCAGCACTGGCATGGCAACTCACAACCATCTGTAACTCCAGTTCCAGGGGATCGTATGCCCTCTTCTGGCCTCCATGGGTACTGCACACAGCACACTGACATTCATGGAGGCCATATACTCAAACACATTCTAAAAAATGTCTAGGCCAAGTGTGGCAGTGCATGCCTTTAATCCCAGTACTCAGGAGGCAGAGGCAGGTGGATCTCTGAGTTTGAGGCCAGCCTCAAACTCTGTCTCAAAACAAACAAACAAAACAAAAACGTCAAAAAATGTCCTATACAAACAAACAAGTAGAATTCAAGTCACCCTTTGCTGAAAGAGGGCCCCTGTGCTTCCATCTGATCACAGCACTCGGGAGACAGACAGGTTGATCTGAGTTTGAGGCCACACTGGTCTACAAAGTAAGTTCCAGGATAGCCAGAGCTACACAGAGAAATCCTGTCTTGAAACAAACAAACAAACAAAAAAAAAAAAAAAAAAAAATGGAGCTGGAGAGATGGCTCAGTGGTTAAGAGCACGGGCTGCTCTTCCAGATGTGCTGAGTTCAATTCCCAGCACCCACATGGTGGCTCATAACCATCTATAACGTGATCTAATGCCATCTTCTGGAATGCAGATTCCATACAGGTAAAGCACTCATATACATTAGATAGATAGATAGATAGATAGATAGATAGATAGATAGATAGATAG